ACTCCTGAATATCCACATTTTAACTACCATATTCTTTGCACTATGAAACGCAAATTTTATCTTGCGTTTAATCCGGTAGGTGCGCATGTGTGGGAGCAGACTTGTGGGGAACGGTAGTGTAGCGGTTAGCGCTACGCTGCACTCTGAATTCGGCAGCCTGAGATGGATTCCCGCTCACGTCCAATACCAGTGAGGATTATATGAACCGGTCCTGGACCTCCTCTAGATCGAATCAGCCTCAAATGAGTACCTGGTGCAGTGTGTAACAATCGCCACTCGGGTGACAAAATCGGTCGGGCGTGGTGCTGGCCACCCATCCCGTTCGTGTGCCGTTCCGGCCTTCACAGGTGCTCGCTAACACCACTTGCCCCAACAGTCTGTTTAGGCTATACAGGGGACCTTTGTCTTTGAGCACACTTGTGTAACTTTATTGATTCCAGGCAACAGTTTGGGGGTGCGTCTTTACTTTCTGGAGCGTCTCATAACACGGGGAATGCGGTAGGTGTTTGTATGCTGTGCTGACGGGTTATGTATTAATTTGTTGGAGCCGCAAATTAACTTTTGCGTTTGCGGTGACGACGATGATTAGTGTTGCTTGAAGTTAAGGATTTAGTTTTGACAAGCACCGCGTTCCTATGATACCACACGTCTCACCGGACAGGTTGAGCTGGGGGCCAACGGTTAAATATAGCGGCAGTCACGCGCGTGTGTATGTCCTGCGATTTCGAAACCAACAATGATCTTTAACAATTGGCCGTTGGCTTAGCCTTAGCACAGGTTTTAGGAAAGTATAATAAGCAATCTACTGTCCTAACCCAATGGAAGAAGCAATTACGTGGTGGTTAGACAGCGCACCCGTGAACGTCCGTGGCGAGTGATATCTGAACTAGTAAACCCCTCTAAAACCCTCTAAAATCTCTTCATCAATCCGCACTGACCAGCGTGGTGAAGTATGGTCAAATAGCCACCCCCACAAATAGCATGGCGTGACAAGGCCTTTAGCAGTGAACTGGTAACATAAATGATTCGTGTAAAATTATATAAAACTAATGCTGCACTTAGCTACGAACCGGGCTATCAGTTCCATTCTCAGCCACGGCTATCGTCAGATATCTGATCAGACCCTGGGCCCTCCAATTCATCAACCTGCACTGACCAGCATGGTAAAGTATGATCAAACAACTTCCCCGACTAACCCGGCACAGTGAAGCCTTCACCCAGCAGTGGATGAGACGGCGAGCTTTATTATTATAATACAATTTTTACAATTATTTTCCGAATAGACTAAGGATGTATCGGGAGTCACCCCTGTTCATGCAATTTCCTACACCCCTGTCCAAACATTAAACGAATTTAGTTTCCAGCCTATCCACAAAAGTAATGTTCTGAAACAACTGTCCTACCTCAAAGGGTCCTCCTCTACCGGAGCGGATAGTATTCCCGTCTTTGCTCTGCTAACTGTTGGTCACCTAATATACAAAGCTATAGCCCATATTTTCAACGTGTCCATCAAAGAAGCATCAGCACCTCTAGAATGGAAGCATTCCTATGTTCGTCCACTTCACAAAGGGGGCCCTAAAGATGATCCAAATAACTACCGACCTATCTCAATTTTGTCCCCGTTGATGATAATTTTTGAAAAATTATTGAACAACCAAATTAGCAGTTTCCTGTCCGATAACGATCTATTACATCGAAACCAATCTGGGTTCCGAAAAAAATACAGCACCACATCTGCTGCATGAAACTCTCTAAATCACATTTACAGTAGCCTTGATAATAAGCAGTACTGCACCAGTCTTTTTCTTGTCTTTGTCTCTCCAAACACGCAGTAGAATGGTTAACAAAAATTACCTCTCTTCTCGCACCCAAACTGTATTCACAGATGGTTGGAGGTCAAGCAGTGTTAAGATAACAAAAGGGGTTCCACAGGGTTCCATCCTCGGCCCCTTCTTGTTCTCTCTTTATGTCAATGACTTGGGCACTGACCTGGATCATTCCAGGGTAAATCTGTTTGCAGATGACACGATACTGATTACTGAGGGCCGCTCTCCGGATGACGTGATTGCTAAGCTCCAGGGTGATTTCAACAAACTACAACATCAGCTGGTTGCTCTTAAACTAGTCCTGAATACCTCCAAAACCAAGGTGCTATGCTTCTCACCAGGACTAAAGCAGGACATTATTTTTCCCCAATTATATTCCTTAAATAATCATCAAAAGAGCAAGTCAAGATCTATAAGTATCTTGGGGTCATCTTTGATTCAAAACTGAATTTTCAGGACCCACCACTGCGATCTCTACATTGGGTCAAACTTCTCTTAATGATCGACGCCTTGTGCATGGGATCTTATTTAATCACGATGTACTTACAAAAAATCAGCAGACTATACCTGCTGGATCTCCTCACAGTTTCGAAAAACAAATGTGACCTAAGGTCTTCGCTCATTTACTAGCTTCACATTCCTTATTGCCGTACAAATACTAGAGGAAGGTCCTTTTCTATTGATGCCCCCAGAGTCTGGAATGCTATGGCCAATAAACTGCAACTTGGATCACTACCTGTGAGATCTTCACTCAAAACTGGTCTAGAGGAGTTGTACACCCCGAGCTGCCACTGCTATTCAGAATGGCCTGAAATCAAATGTATCGTTCCAGATGATCGCTGGAAAGTATGATCTTGAGTTTTGACTATAGTGTGCTGATCATTCGAGGTGTTGAAAATTTTTGATACTGCTACTGATACTCCTGCTGTTATGGAGTGACTCATGCAGCCAGCTATGGCTGCAAAGTTTGGTCGTACATGTTATGTATATCGTTTATTGTTAAATTTGAATCACAGTTCCTATGATCACTGTTACATTGTTTTTATAGCTTTATTTTGGTGATTTTGAAAACTTTTGGTTTAGCCATATTTGTTTGTTGTAGTACAGAGTTAGCCTGATAACTTTAATCTAAATTGTCTTATGGTTGTTATTGTTTGACTTGCATCCAAACTGGGATTTTTGCACACAGCGTTCAAATGCGGTGTTTTTTCTTAAAGACTTTGCTGTTTTTTCCTGGATTTATCTGTTGCGTGCAGTCACTTTAAGATGTTTCTTGTTCATGTTTTTGTTTGTTGTGGTTGCACCCGAGTCAAGAGCCGCATGGCTCACAGGGTTATACCTAATAAATTAAACTGAAATAACTACAGAACTTGGTCCCATGCGTGTAAAAAAAGGATGTATTTATCTATCACGAAGTCATCTACATTTTTCTTTACAACAGTGTCAAAAGTATACGTGGTGGCATTACGCGGTGAATTATTGATGTGTACACATACATAATTCAAAATTCGAGCCAAAGCGTCCATGAGCTCAGTACGACCTGATGTGGCTCGACTTTACTGGGACCGATATCTTTATGCGGCAAATAACAGTGAAATACGCGATGACCATTTGAAGCGAGTGGGTTGTCAAGTAATTCCCTATGATTTTGCCGTATTAATAAAGTTGTACGATTAAAGTTTTGCACCGTAGGTGATACCTATTTATGCTCTGGCCAATGGACTGAAAAGTGTTTATTTGCTCAAACAAGCACTCGCTAGCACTTACATCCGCTGGCAGCCCTGAACCAGTAGGTGGAAGTTCCATATTCCCATGGGAGGGGCCGGTACATCCATAGAACGGCCATGTATACAATAGCAAAAATAACTAAGAGCAATGTCGGTGACCAACGTGGCGAGTTTGTTATTGCTGTGCACCCATTGCCGCACTGACCAGCATGGTGAAGTATGGTCAAGTAACACTCATGAACCCAAGTGGCGTGGCAAACTATTAACTATTTTTTTTTACCAGGCAAGGCCCACTGAGCTATGTAGCTCTTTTTCAGAAGCGACCTGGCTACAAATGAAAGCTGAACAAAGTGGCTTATCAGGTGGAAATGTATTTCAGCTAAATATTCTAAACGCATTTTTTTTTATGTGGAGGAAACAAGCAGAGGACCCGGAGAAAATCCACGCGACCACGGGGAGAGATACATCCAAACTCCAGATATACAGACATCATGGTCGGTATCAGAACCCACGACCTCCTGTATACTAGGCGAGGTATTTAACATATCGCCACTGTGGTAAGGCCGTCATCCAGCAGTTTATTGACAGTACATACCCACACGTGCATATTAATTGAACTATATTTTAAATCTCATCATCGCTCCATATCCGCGGTGGATGGCCTCAGGTGCGTTCACTACTTTGGCTGCCAGTCCGTCGTTAGCCTTCGCCAATGGACTGTCCACTCTTCCAGCCGTGAAGTGTCCCTGACCGAGCCTACTCACTTTACTCGACAGTCAGTTCGGATTCACAAACTCGAATCCGTTCCCTCTACTCCACGTGTTCCCCTCTTACAGAGTACCGTGGAGAGTTTTCTTAGCAATTACGGATTATACCCATACTGGGCATATCGGTAGTTTCAGAGACTGCATAAGAATTTGAATACATTGATCCTGTATCTCACAAGACAATTACAATGTTCGACCACGAAAATGTTTTGACTTTTGTCAATCCACTGCTGGTCTCCCCACTGTGCGAATCATGGAGGGTTGTTTAACCATACTTCACGTCGGTCAGTGTGAGTTGGTGAATTACTGACATTAGCCTTAACCTGGAATCAAATTTGTATAGCCAGTTTCAAAGCGCAGTGTGCCAACCATTGCATCAACTACTTCCATCCATTACATCCTCACTTCAAGACAATTGATTATTCTTTAAAAATACCTATCGATTTTAACGTTCAAAGCATAACCATGAATGGAATATTACCTTTAAATTTCTGGCACACGTTGCATGCACACACAAAACACAACACACAACTACGCAAGTGGAAAGTGAAAGAGAGGTTTTTGTTTAAACGAAAACAACGAAAACGGTTAACCAATGATAAAACACCACAATGAACAGCGAGTATAAACGTATGAACTATAACGAGTAATGTTTACTAGAATACGACTGTTAAACTCACCCAGCACAATGCACAATATATCCAGAGTCACCTTCGCCACCGCTTTCACGTAACCTTGCATCGTTAAATTATTTTGAATATTACAAATCAGACCACACTTAAAAAATACTACTCGTCCTAGGTTTCCTGCGATCGTGTGTGTCGCTTGGTACCGTGACACGAAATAGCAAACACTCCTATCTCTATCCCCACCCACTCACCAACCAACTCACCCACCCACCCCCTCGTTAGCCACTCCCCAAGGTTCAAAAGTCTACCTTGATACAGACACACGTTTATATTTACGGGATTGGCCCTTTACCATTTATGCAACACATCCATTGATTTTTGCAACACAGGTGACTATATCAGTATGCGGTCTATTATCAGAGTATATAACAGTTCTAGCCACAATTCAGTAAATATTGATACTGAACAAAAAACAGCACCACTATATGTTGCCTAGTTACCATATAGTTGGATGGCAGTGTAGTGTGGTGAGTGCAGTGGATTTATAAACGGAAATATCGTGAATTCACATCTCGGTGGGTGGAAGACTGACCCCATCATCTTTCATGGGCTGCTAAAGTGACTCCAAAGGTTATGATATAGATAGTGTAGTATCTTCAAAAATACTCACACCGACACGTTTTAACAAGTCACCTGCTTACACTTTATTCACCTATTCTTGCACCAGTTGTAGGCACTCCTATAACTATCTATACGGTCACTTATGTTTAACTTCTCCCCACTCTTATCTACCTTCCACCTTACTTATCCTGCACTCGGCAGCTCTGCTCTCAGCGTCTCCGCACACAGCAGCTCCTCATACAGCAGCTTCACACAGCAACTCCCCATCTCCGCCGCTGCCCTTCGCTGGTGACGGTGTGAGTGGCAGCGGCGAGATGTCTTCACGCTTGGTTCCTCGCAACAACTCCCTCTCCGCTCCCGCACATACTCTTATATCCCTCTGCTAATTATCCGAGACCTCTCGTCCCTCCAAGCAGTGTCCCGTTGCGCCCGTCACACCAACGGCGATGGCCTGCTCCCCCTCCGCAAACAGCAGGCCCCTCGCGCAGTGGTGGTGCTCTCTCCTGCGTGCCGGCTCACCCCACAAGCAGGAAGCAGGCGGCCCCCCAGACGTCGGGAACCATCTCTTCGATCCCGGGCTCTTCTCACTCTCACAGCGGACGTCCTCCCCCGCTCTTCTCACTCCAATCACGGGGAGGGAGGCACACCCTGCTCGCCATCGCAGGGCGCCAGCAGCGCTCCGCCAGGCCGGCGCAGCGTAAAAGGTGCAAAAGGTGCGGCAGCCTGAAGCGAACACGCGGCCGCAGACGTACAGCAGCGGCAATGGCGCCCGACTTCCTCGTCGCAGCCACGTGCGAACTGGCGTGAACGCCTGCAGCTGTGGAAATGGCGGGAACCGCCGCAGCCGAGGAAAATCGTGGGAACGCCGCAGAGACCCGACTGCGGCCGCGCCCCCCAGCACCTCCGCCGTCGACTCGCCAACTCCCAGCCGCTCCATCGACGTCAGCAGCTGGTCGAGCCGGCCGGCGACATCGCCCCAGCTCTCTGTCGATGGCGGCCATTCGGGGCTCGCAGCCTCCTCCCGCACAGGCTGCAGTCGCCCACTCCGGGGCACATCATTGGGGTCGTCGCGGGGAGAACTCTGGTGCAGCCCTCATCGTCCATCCGCACCACCGGTTGGTTCTTGCACTTCGCTGCGGCTTCTACACCACGCCAGCGAAGGGTTTCGGCTTTTTTGAAAATAAACAGCATTGCTCTTGCGAAGGTTCAACGGCCACTTCCGACACCAAATGTAGTGTCTTCAAAAATGACTCGCACTGACACATTCTAACAAGTTACCTGCTTACACTTTATTCACCTATTCTTGCACTAGTTGTAGGCACTCCTATAACTATCTATATGGTCACTTATGTTTAACTTCTCCACACTCTTATCTACCTTCCACCTCATTTATCCTGCACTCGGCAGCTCTGCTGTCAGCGTCTCCGCACACAGCAGCTCCGCATACAGCATCTTCACACAGCAACTCCCCATCTCCGCCGCTGCCCTTCGCCGGTGACGGCGTCAGTGGCAGCGGCAAGATGTCTTTACGCTTGGTTCCCCGCCACAACTGCCTCTCCGCTCCCGCACATACCCTTATTTCCCTCTGCTAATTATCCGAGACCTCTCGTGCGTTTCTTTAAGCTCTCACCAGGCCGGCGCCTGTCGGCCCATCAATAAACCCTTATCTCCCTGGCAACACCTTCGGTCTCAACGTACACAACCGGTCGACCCAGTTTGCACCTGCTTCACCCCTTAACAACTGGCAGTCTGTCCGTGCAAACCTCCCGTTGAACACGCGTACCTGTTTTCCCTCAGTTGTCATCGGTTAACTGTGTGCACCGCATATTTCACTCCTCTACAATAGTATAGTACTTGGATCTGTCAAGAAAGTATGCAATTTACACCAAAGACTCAGGACTGCCAACAGAGACGAGCCAGCACTGCGGCGACCCTATGTTTGAATAATCTAGGAGTGGAATAACAGTGTAAGTGATCTTGATGGTCTCACCATGGTCACTAATGACTGCACATATGAACCAGGCAGTGGCGGGCCATCAGGGCCAGCAAGGCCTTCTCTGCTGGCCTAGAGATTGTCAGAATCAGATATTTTGTAAAAAAATAATTTCATATCTACTTTCATTAATGCTATATGTATTTTACAACGTTCGTTCCCATCAGTCGATAAACGTAATTTCATGTCTACTCTTTCCCTCAGTTGCGCTGCTTACAGTGCAGCTCATATAAATTAGAGCTTTTTATCAAATCAAATTTTCCACCTGTGCTGTCTCCGCCTCTCCGGGTGAAATTTTTTTACCCTGAGGCCTTCAGAATGTCAAGTGAATCCCCTCTGCTGTTGAAGCGAATGGGGACGATGTCATATTCTTTAACCAATCAGATTTCGAGTTTCTCATGTTGGGTGTATTCTTTGACATACCGGAGCCTTCTAGCTGGCCTAGCCGCCTACGTTAGCATTTTTTGTGTGGCATGATCGGAGGGCCAATTAGCTAACTGAAGTAAATCTAGCTAGCACGTCACGTAGCATCATCTAAGATTAATTAAAACTTTCTTTCGTAACGTTTAGATTTTTAGATGTAGTGCTTTAGAATTTTTTTTTTCTGTAGGGAAGCCTGTTGAATCCTGATTGTGTTATTTGTGTTTTATGGCATTTTTGCTTGCTTGGCGGTCGTATGAGTAAACGTGACTGGTTGTTGTCAGTTTGTTCTTGTTTCTTTGGTAATGACATTGATTTGGGCTATGCGATGTCTATTTGTGATGCAGCATCCTGTCATACTGCGTAATAGTGGTACATCCTTGATGGTTTCAGTCACCATGTATTCATGTCTCTGTAGGGGTGCTATGGGGAATAAACACATGACACGGGAAGGTGTGGTTCACCCACACCTTGGTGGCTACAACAACGTCCGCTAAGGCTCCAGTGGGTATAAAGTGCGGGGAGCCAGGGAGCTCGGGGCAGAGTGTGGGGCCCGAGGCTGAAGCAACCAGTGAAGAAAGAAGGCCAGCTAGGTGAGACCCTGGAACTCCTGTGACCGCTGCCCTTTTCAGGGCCGGCACAGCAAGCCAGTGGTGCGGCCCCAGAGCCCCAGAGTCAGAGTCCTTCTAAGGGCCGGTCTGGTCGGCGGGGTGCCGAGATCTGTGCCTAACCAGGGCCGGATCTGATAGCCTCCCTTAGAGCCCTACCAGGAGGAACTGGGAGCCTAGAGCTTAGGCCAGAGAGCCTGGGGTGTGTTCCTGAGTTATACGGGTGGAGGGGCCGCTACCCCTTCTAGTGTAACCCTTGTTAAGGTTTAAATAAATAGTGCTGCTTCTATTCTGCCGTCTCCGTGTCCTGGAACCCACTACAACTGGTGTCAGAAGTGGTCTTAAAATGGACACAAGGAGTACAAACCGATCACAGGAACCCCAGGAGGAGGACGGCTCGCCTGGGATTGCGCCAGAGGCCGCGGCCGACGATCCTGGGATGTCCCAGACGCCCCAACAGCAGCCGCCGCTGGAGGAGTGGCCGCCGATGGAGGACGGGTTGCAGGCGGCTCACTCTCGACTGGCTGAGCTGCTGTATGCCGCGGCTTCCACGCTGGAGGAAATCAACCGCGCGGGGCTGCGGGCGCAAAGGCGGCAGAGAGACGAACGCCGTTCAACGGCCATTCCCGCCGAAACACAGCCACCAGATTTCGGATTTGCCGCCATGACAGTGTCCGCCACGGCGATTGGAGGGTCGCAGCGCCACGTGGACGCTGTGGGCCAATCAGCGGTGGTGACGTCATCACCAACGGACGCCCGCTGTCAGGACCAATCGGCGGGCGCATCGTCATCACCTGCGCGACCGCCGATGGGTGTCCCCAGCCCCTCAGACACCGGTGGAGAGGCCGGAAATGGCGCGCGGCACCTCTCAGAGACGAAGCCATCGTTTCAACAACGCCTGCCGGTGTTGAAGGAGTTCGTTTCAGACGGCGGCGACTGGGGGGCCTTTCAACGCCGCTTTCTCGCTCATCAAGAGATGGCCGGCTGGACGGACAACGAGGCGTTGAGTGCGCTACCGGCCATGCTGGACGATGACGCCCTTGCTACGCTCATCACAGCTCCCAGATCAACGCGATCTACGCTACAGTCGGCGCTCCAGGTCCTCACCATAGTCTACGGGCCATCGTCGGACTGCCGCAAACTCTTCCACGAGCGGTGCAGGGGCCAGAAGGAGCCACCGCTGGCGTATCGCACGGCTCTCCTGGCCCTCGCAAAAGCGGCTTTCCCGCGGATGGACGGCGAAGGGGTGGACGCGATGGTGACGGAGAAGCTCCTGGCGTTGGCCCAGGAGCTACAGATCGTCATCGTCGCAGAGGACGACGCGGACATGTGCTCCTTGCGGGCAGCAAGACACATCCACGCGCACCTGATAGCGCAGCGTCGATCACCTCTCGTCCCCAAGGGCGCAGCTGCGGTGTGCGCTGGGACGCCGACCATCCCCCCCTCCGAGGAGGTCTTCGCGGCGGGTCGCCCGGTGGAGTGGAGATCCGGAGGGAGGCCGGCTCGGACCACACCGGATCGCCAGGAGCACCCCAAGGCGCTCATCACGTGCTACAACT